TAGGTGTTCAGAATGGTTTGATCCCTATCCAGCTGAATTCCTGAGAGGAGACGAAATCCAGGTCTCCTACTCCTCCGCCATCTTGCTCCGCCCTCTTTTTTTTTTTTACATTTCCAAAGGGTTAGTAAACTCAGTCATTTCATCTCAAGTTGCACTGTTGACTGATCATTTCAGTTCAGTCTGTGGAGCTGGTTTCTACGAGGCATCCTCAGCAAAGCACAGCCCCAGGAGAAAAGAGAACAGGCTCTCGTCTGCTGTGGGCTTCGAGTGCCGAGCACTCCAGCTGTGGCACCCACTCACCCCAAGGCTCCAGTGGGCCCAGCACATGGTTTAGCTTCTCGACACACTCGGGAAGCAAGACTTGCCCTCATCCATTTATACCCAAGTGCACAGACTTCAAGGGTGAGTCTGAATTCCCAAGCAGGAAATCATGCAACAAATTAGGGTGAACGTTTCTCATCACTTCTTTGGGCGATGTGTAGTTATGTATGTTTCAGTTACAAGGGTAGGAAAAGGTTTTAACATTATTAGGCCCAAAGTGTCATTAAATATGAATAATGATCCAACAAATTGTTCCTGCATGTGTAAGTGAACAAAGAAAGCAGATGTTAGTCCGTAGCTAGGAGGGAGAGGGCCATGGGCACAGCGAGGAAATATGACTCAGAAACAAGTGAACAGCTCTAAGGTAAGCAATACAAAGCAGAAACATGGACTCCAAGGAGAGGAAAAGTATAGAACAGGAAGGGCAGAAGTGGAGAATGTTAGAAGGAGGAAAGGAGGATGTGGTCTTGGTTCAAAACTAAATGAAACATCTATTGCTTTAAAAAAGAAAGTGAGAGGCGCCTGGGTGGCTCAGTCGTTGAGCGTCTGCCTTCGGCTCAGGTCATGATCCCAGGGTCCTGAGATCGAGCCCCACATCGTGCTCCCTGCTCGGCAGGAAGCCTGCTTCTCCCTCTCCCTCTCCCCCTGCTTGTGTTCCCTATCTCGCTGTGTCTCTCTGTCAAATAAATAAATAAAATCTTAAATAAATAGAAAAGAAAGGGAAAGAAAATCTGCTAGGCTTTAGTTGTGAATGTTGTATTTAAAAGCACATATTTTTATACTATAACTTACAGAGGAAGAAGAAAGCTTGTGCTCGTGGTTGGCGTCTGCTGTAACTCAGGGAGAGCAATCCCTTTGCCTTTTACACGAAACCCACTGTTGCTCACGGCCACTTCCCTGAATATGAAAGAGTGTCGCTAAGTCAAAAGGGAGAAACACCAAACATCCACAGATAGCTAACTCTAGAACTACATGGAGGAAAAGTCTTACTGACTTAATTCCCAGAGCATGGACCTGTTCGTAGAGCAGACTGGTCCCACAACTGACCTGGATAAAGGGGCTCCTGGACCCTCATCTCAGTTATGCCGGCCTCGTTCTGCTTCTCAATTTGGAAAATAACTGGGCTCTTGCCATCTTTTATCGGGCCTACCTGTAAGGGTTCTACACCACCACCTATAATGAATACAAGGTTGGTTCTGGGCTGGTCTTAGGACGGCCCCCAAACCAGAAAGGATGTGTGTGCTGCTTTTATACTCCAGCAGAGGGCAGTACCACATAAAAATTACTCTCGAGGAGAACCTGAGCTGTACCATCTTTTTGTCTATTCCAGCAAATTTTCTATGTTGTTGAATGATTGTTGTTTGGTGCCACCAAAATGGGTGCCTTGTCCACACGGGGTGTCTAGAAATATTAGTGGGCAATCCTGGCAAACAACTGAAGCCCTAACCATTTTAAACCTTACAACTGAAGGAAAGCGTGGCTTGTTTGAGTCTCTCTGGCGAGTCTTCCTCAGTGTGTATGTGTCTTGTGTGTGTGTGGTGTTTATTGCAGCTTTGTTCCCCTTTCTCACATTTGCAAGCAAATACATTGGGTTCATAGCATAAAGCCTCACTGTGTAACACTGCAGTATGCGAGTGTTATTTGAAAGGCTATATCCTGGAACGGAGCTAAAGTGATTTCATCTTTCTAATAGTAAAAGGACCTCATCATAAGCTGTTTCATTCACAGCATGGTCAATTTAACCAAGATCCCTAGGAACACATAATGAGAAAAACTCTTATGTATTAATGAACTTACATTTTAACAGTTATTTCATCAATTAATCATTAAGTGATTTCCTTCCTTTCCATTCCCACTTTTGTGAAGTCTCAGCATATTTATGCTGTTACGGTTTTGTGCTAAAGATTTATTTATTGTAGAGAAACAGAGAAAGAGAACGACTCAGGGGAGGGGCAGAGGGAAAGAATCTTCAAGCAGACTCCTGCTGAGCTTGGAGCCCCACACGGGGCTTGATCCCATGACGCATGAGATCACGAACTGAGTCGAAATCAAGAGTGAAATCAAGAGTCCAACGCTTAACTGAGCCACCCCGGCGCCCCACTGTTACAGTATTTATTTGCTGAAAATTAACTTAAAAAGTATTTCGGGTTATTATGCAATTGTGTTCTGGTTCTATTTCCGTCGAGGATTACTCTTTGCTATGCCTGAATGTAACAGAGACAAAAGTCACCCTACATTTAATCGAAGTCTAGAGTCAAAATGAACTTGAATTTAAAAAAACTTTTGGCTAAATTTCTCTCTGCTAATATCATACTTCTAATAATTGAAACTTTTCATAAGGTAAATGCTTATCGATAAGAGATGTCAGGTGCAAATAATGGTAGAATCAAATTCAAACAGCATGGTCATGTCAACTCCCCTATTTAAAAAAAAAACCCCGCCTACCCTGGCACTGCCCCCATGCAATTATAAATGGGAATTTTAAGCTTTCATAGCCAGGATGGGAAATTATTAGCAATGAGGACTTTGGAAGCAATGATGCCAAATGGGGAGATGAGGGGTGGGACTCTGTGGTCATGCGCTTTTCCTGGATTCCGGAATTTGACAGTAAAGGAGCCCACTCCGCTCCACCTGTACCCGAATCCCCTGAATTCTGTCTTCGCATTTTTGATCCAACTCAAAGGTCAGTTCCACAGACACTTAGGAACAATAGCCATGTTCAAAATACATATAATGATAAATTCCATTGAAAGTCCATTTTGAAGACGAACCATGAGAGACTATGGACTCTGAGAAAGAAACTGAGGGTTCTAGAGGGGAGGGGGGAGGGGGGATTGGTTAGCCTGGTGATGGGTATTAAGGAGGGCATGTACTGAATGGAGCACTGGGTGTTATACAAAAACAATCATGGATCACCACATCAAAAACTAATGATGTATTGTATGGTGACTAATATAACATAATAAAATAAAAGTAAAAAAAAAGTCTGTTTTGAGATCGGAAGTTTGAGTTTGGAAATCTGTCCCATAGAAGCAGTGCCTACAGGGACCCGTGTTCCCAAACCAGCTTACAAAAAACTTTTAATTCAGGAATTTGTGAAATCTAGAACTGACAGTTCCAAAGAACCTAATCCCCATGTATAACCGTGTTTCCGTGGGAAAATTTTTCACATATTTCCCAGATTTAACATCTGGGATATTAGGACCTTAAACATTTTTTTAAAATTTGCAGCTGTGGCCCTACTGGATGGAAATTTAGAAGCAACCCCCCCTCCCCGCCCACTACTGTTCTAAGCCACTGAGGGCGGTCTGTGACCTGCCCTCAGTGGCTTGGAACGTGGCTTGGAACAGTGAGCTGGGAAGGGGGGGGAAACCAGGGAAGTTGGTGAGGCAGCAGGGGAGGGGAGGGAGGGCAGGGTAGTAGGGTGGTATTATTCTAATCCTCTCCTCCCTCAGGTTGCTCTTTCTTCCCATTGCACCTCTGTTCTGTGTGAGTTGGAGGCGGAGGAAGTCTCTGGAAGTAAGGGAGACCTCCCTGCCCCCCGTCCCCCCGCCGCCATGGGAATGATGGCTGGGCTTGGGGCTGGAGGTACCACCTGTTGTTTTGGGTCTCTGTCTGGGGGGTAGGGAGAGGCCAAGAGGCGGGAGGAAGGAGGAGCTGGCTGAAGAAAGGGAGCCAAAGGGCTTTTCCCTCCCGCCTCCCTCCCTCTGGGCTCTCCCCCTGCTTCTACCTGGTCAGAGCCCCTGCAGCCTGGTGCTGAGCTGGGGTGACGAGTCTGCCAGGATGGAGATGGGTAGGAGGGTACTGTGCAAAGATGGAGTTCCCCAGCAGCATGGAGAGGGGAGGGATTTTCTGTGGCACTGGCCAGGCAGCGGTCAGCAGGACATTGGTCAGGCTGGGATCCCCTCCTTGTATCCCAAGGGTGGCGGGACACAAGGTGAGAGCATCCCCTGCTAGGGGTCCATACCATGCCGCACTGAATAATCACAACCCTTTTCCCTAGTGTTGTCAATAACAAAGACCGAAAGCTCCTCTATATTTTTCCCCAGCACATTTTGGGCTAACATATGGCGGGGGGGGGCGGGGGCGTGTCGCGTGTAGCTTAATGAGAACATGGAACATAAAAATCAAATTCCTAGAAGATTAGAGCCCCTTTAATGACTTCTGTACGGTGCCTGGAGCATGGCTGACAATAACTATTTAACAACCCCCTCATTGGACATCAACTGCAGAAGAACCTATTTTTAAAAATCTCCACATTTTATTACCGGCTGCTCCTTTAAATACATCGTGTGATAAACCTGACATTTATCTGATAAATCAGACAAGTGAGATGAGCTGGGTGTGATGAACCCTGGAGGAGAAGTGATGAGTAAATCTCCGTAGTAGATTTTGCTAGTTTGGAGTTTACATTTGATAGCGAAGCTGACTGTATATATTAGCAACCTAATAAAACCCGCTAAAACTGTTCGTGGAAAACTATGTTAGTGGTTGAGAAAATAATTTTCTTTTGAGTTAATCCTAATCTTTTTTGTACTCCAATCAATGCTCTTTGTCATTTTTGCTTATTTTAATCAGGGACGTAGACAGAATCCCACCAAACCGAAAGAAGTGCCTTAATTGTCTGAACCCACAGCCAAAACCAAATAGCGCTTTTATGAAATTGTCAAGCAAGCCAAGGCTTTACCTTGTATCTGTTACCCTGTAAAAAATCGAGAATATCGGATCTCTCCAGTAACAAACCCTCCCATCCTCCACACTTTACCTCCCCTTAAGCCATCAAATAAGAACACCAGATATTGTTTGGACCCAATTTTTCATTTGGTTTAAAATCCTTTGAAGTTTGGATTTTAATACCGATTCCCGGTTCTTGGCTAAACCGCTATATAGTGCTTGTTACAAGTGGCCTGTTTCCAGTTGGGATAGTAGGTGCTAGAAGAGTGGTTACATTGCAACCATGGGCCAGGTGATTTTTATTTATTTCTTAACTGAGCTTGATCTCAGGGGCGAAACACTCAGCCTTATATAAAAGATGTAAAAGTAAACATTAAACTAATTTTTAAAAAGTCTTGGGTAACAAAGGGCATTTTGTATACTCTCTTTGTCAAACACCATGCCCAAGGTCCTTATTCCCCCCGATTCCTGACTCTCTCTTCCCACCACCAATTTTGCATTTCTTCCAAAAATGCTTGAGCAAATGACATTTTTGATAGTGCACAGATTACCAAAGTATTTGCATAAAAGAGATGGCACATATGGTGTGAAGGTTCGGCCCCATAACACCAGTACCCTGCTACTTCACCTAAGCACTTTATGACCGAAAAAGGAACAAACAAGGTAACTTCTCTGTGCTCTTTTCTTGTCAGCTGTTGGAGTGCTGTCCATCATGAAGGATCCCATGGATGACGATCGACTGGGGCCATCAACAAGCTTAGTTCTTATTTCAATCTTCCACAGCATTGAAGGGAGAGGATAATTTTATTTTCATCATGGCATGAATCCACTCCGATTGTAGACTTTGGCCCCGGTCCCTATAGGAGCCTACAAAGTATCTTTCCCGGTTCCAGGTTCAAATATTAAATTAAAACCAAGGTGCAAAACTAAAACAAAAATCCGCCACCAAAACATAACCTACCCCTCCAAAAAAACCACCAGCTTTGGGGAAAACCAATGTCCACGGTTCCGTGTCCTTATCCTAAACTCTTAAAAAAAAAAAAAAAAAAGAACAGATCCTCAACCTGTGGTTGTTTCAAGGTCCTGTGGCTGTTTCAAGGTCCAAAGAGGCCAGTACGAAGAAGCGGAGGTCTAGAAGTTCCTGGGGTGGTCTCCACGGCCCCTCTTGGGCCACTCCTCATCCACCCACCTGTGCAGGACCTTCTCCACGTCGGCCCTGTGGTAGAACCTGCACAGCTCCATCAGCTGGCCCACTGGCCTCTGGCTGTTCCGCAGCAAGAACTCCAAGGTGGGGCTCTGAGGCCTCTGCTCCAAGAAACACAGTTCATCATAGGGCATGCCCCACTTGCTGGCAAAATTCCTCCAGTTTTTTACTGTCGGGTGACATGGATCCAGCTTTATCCTGATGACGTCAAGTAAGTCCTGATCATTGAGTAAGTCACTTATGGTCGGGGCCCGGAGCGAGCAGGCGGGACAAGTACAGTTCTCCTTGCAGGACTCGCCTTTGCTTATATCTGCAGGAACAAGCAATACAGCCCACAGGTCAGCAAGAAAGCGAACGCACGCGTCCATTTCTCCCGTCCTTGATTTTCCTGCTCAAATGCCAAGAGCACCGATGAGAGTGTAACACAGCGTATCCTACAGATACTCATAGATGCTTTCAGGTTACTCATTTCCATAGGCTCACACAACGAACGTGGCGTTCTTGACAGCCAAGGGATGGGTGGCTTTGCTGGAAGCACTCGTAAGATTTTATACAGCCAGTTTCCCTTTCTTTCGGAGACTCTCTGAGTCTCACACTGGGCATTTGCGAGACTGCTGGCTGGCATTTGGGCTCGGAGGAGCAGGGCTCTCTCTGGGGGCGGGTCCCCGGTGGGAGACACACTGCACTGTCCCACAAGTAAACCAGCCCATACTTGCCTGAACCTCCACTCTTACCCCTTCCAAAATACAAGTCAGCCCTGACAGCTTTTTAATGCCAAACACAGCACGTTGGGGTATAAAGGATTGCACAGCTCTTTAAAAGGCCTTTAAACACGCATACACTGAAAACTGGAATATCCACTCCATATGCATATTTGAAACGGAGTGATAATTGATAATGCCAGAAAACTTACTTTTGAGATTTATGGCCACCTTATCATCCTTTGCCTTTATCTGTGTTTTCTTCACCCACCTCACTTCTTCTGCCTTTGAAGTAGAGCCAACACCCCGAGGTGTGCACCGTGGGATGGAAGAACAGGAGGCTTTTGAGCTGAGCCTCACCAAGAAGGGCACAGCCCCAGCCCAGAGGAAGGGCAAACATTCTTCCATCAGTCATCTTTAGCCTCATTTCAATACAAGGAAGCATGTTGCGGGGTGGGGCGGGGGGGGGGCGGGAATGAAGGAGTAGGGAAGAAATGCTCGCAAGTCATTTATGATTAAGTTGTTAAGTGGTGTTTGCACAACATGGCAACCTGAGTGTCTTAACTTCTGCATCAGCACTGAGGCTCCTGACCCTTCTGACCAGGGATTTTAACTGCTAAAGGCTACGTGAGAGATCACTGACTTGGAAAATTCTGGGAGGTTGGTTACAATGACCTTTACTATACTGAGCCCTGGACTTCCCAATTTAGGAAAGGAAAGAATTTGGGAAAAAGGAGTGTCTTCGGTGATCTGAAGGTTGAGAACCAGCCATCTGGAGGCAAGCACAAATGACAAGGTGACAAGAACCATGAAAATCCTGCTCCTACTCTTTGACCTACTAACATAACTTCTGGGAATCCAGCCTAAGGAGATAATCTAGAAGATGTATACACATGAATGATTTTAATTACAGTCTTATCTTTATCATCCATTTTTTAAAAATAAATGCCAAAGGTGAGGGACTAGTGGGATAAATTATTGTACTACTTGATGGAATTTTATTTAAGTAACTATGAAGACTATGTAGCGACCCAGAAAACGCGTGTGCTGTAATTTCAAGTGAAAAATGCAAGATGTAAAGAATGTGTGTCCTTGACATTAGAACTGTGAAAACTCTATACTATGGAAGGAAATGCACAAAAATAGTAATAGCTATCATCTTAATTCCGTAAGATTGTTTCTGTTTTCCAAACTTTCTCCAGTGGTGTTTTATTTCTGTGGTAACCAACACAATGTATTACATGAATAAGCAGACTCCCACCTGACTTTGAAGGTTACCTGGACCTCCTGTGGCTTCTAATGCCCCCCTCACACCAGCTCCCCTTGGATACGGCTGCCTCTGGAACTGGGCCCAAGGCTCCTTTGCCCCTTTGGACACTATTGCATGGCAGGGTGCATCCTCCCTGAAGATTCCTTCCGACAGCCGAGCCCCAAACCCCCAGCCCCAGCCCACCATGTCCCAGCTGCATCCCTCCCCCATCACTTGACGTGCTGAGATCCCAGTCTGTCTCGCTCGCTGCCAAATCCTTGAGAGGGACAAGGAAATGCTCCAGTTCTGTTCTTAGCTTTCCCCTCCCACACTCCCTCCCTTTGGTCACCTCCTCCACTCCCAACAACCTCCACCACACACTCCCACTAAAATGGAAGGCCCCTTCTTTTTGAATCTGTGGGACCCCCCACACAGCCCTTGACATACAGCAAATGCGTAAGCAATGTTTATTGAATGAGTGAGTGAATGCATGAGTGAACAAATGAGTGAGTAGCCCTGCTTGCTCTTCTGGGCTCCACAACTGAGTACTGGGAAGCCCCTCTTGATGTCCAGATGACATCTCCAACTCAGGGGACCTAAAACAGTACTTAAGTGTCTCCCCCTAAGCATCAAAAGCACCCTGACCCCCCTACTGACACAGCTCCCTCGGTGTCCTTGTAGACTTTTTCACTGTTTTCAACCAGTGAACACGTCGTGACCTCCACTGGAAGCTCTCCATGCTACAATTCCTGTCTTCCTTCCCAGAACTTCCTTAAATACAATCTGTGCTCCAGACCAGCTGGACTACTCCATTCCCCGAACTTTATCCATCCTGTAAAGCCTACCTCAGACTAATTAAAAGAAAGACTAATAAAGCGCAGGATAGAAAAATTGGAAATTATATACCATTACAGATTTTGTATAAACTATTGAACATTTAGGGTTTTCTCCAATTCTCACGACTAAGAGGAACAACTTGATGCAGACCCTTGCATATATATTTTTGGCCACATCTATACTCATCGCACCAGTAATGGGATTATTAGGCCCAAAAGTATGAGCATTCTAAGGCTATCAATGCATGTGCCCCAAAGTGCTTTCCAGAAATAAAAGTGGTACCAATTTACACTCCAACCAGGGAACAGTGATGCCGCTTATCTCACTTGACCTTTGTTAGCACCGAGTGAAAAATGTTTGTCGATTTCACAGGTGGGAAAATCAGGCTTCATATTCTTCTGCCTCCACATGTCTTTGCTGATGTTTTCTCTCTGATCAGTTTTCTCTCTTCTCTCCCTCTCCCTCTCGCAGGACTCCCTCTGCTGAACTTCATCCATCCTATAAAACCCACCTCAGATTCACCCCTTGCATGAAATCTCCCCGGCTGTGGCCCAGAATGCTGCCTCATTCAGAATCCCATCATTTTGTTTGCATTTCCTCACTCTCCCTTGCGGTGAGATATTCTGCATGGTTTTCTTGTTCCTCGTTACACCTTAAATGCCCTGAGAACAGATCCAGATCATTCTGCAGTGTGCTCTACAACTTAGAGTTTAAAAATGTTGCATTACATTTCTATGTAATATAGCCGTTCTTGAGCCATATTAATAATGATGCATTAAGAAGTAAAGCTTTGGGGCGCCTGGGTGGCTCCATTAGTTAAGCATCTGCCTTCGGCTCAGGTCCTGATCTCAGGGTCCTGGGATCAAGCCCTGCATCGAGCCCCGCATCGGGCTCCCTGCTCAGCGGGGAGTCTGCTCCCTCTCTCTCTGCCCCTCCCCTCTGCTCATGCTCTTTTTCTCTCTCTCTCTCTCAAATAAATAAAATCTTAAAAAAAAAAAGTAAAGCTTTAGCAGCACAATGGGACAGAAGTCTATTTATTTAAAAAATGAACTTTGTAATGGTAAAGGTGATTTTTTACTAAAAGAAAGGTATAAGGGAAATCCTGCAATTTTCTTTGCTTTTATTTAAAGGTAGGGTCAAATGAACAATATTCCATCAAATGGCCAAGAAAGCAGGCTACCAAAGAGCATGTATAATTCTGATTTTGTAAAAACAAACAATATAGTAGGGGCGCCTGGGTGGCTCAGTCGCTTAAGCGTCTGCCTTCAGCTCAGGTCATGATCTTGGGGTCCCGGGATTGAGCCCCACATCAAGGCAGGCTCCCTGCTCACTCTCTCAAAAATGAATAAATAAAATCTTTTTTAAAAAGACCAAAAGACAATATAGTAATTCATATCCATGTAAAGCATATATTATATGGTCACAGACACAGAAAAAGTCTGGAAGCATTTATAACAAAAATGTTACCAATGGATATTTCCTAATTTTTTAAATAATGATTGTGTTTCTTTGGATACCTCAAAAATATTTTTAGATGTCACAGAAAAAGAAAGGAGGATTTAAATCTCGAAGACCAGAATTAAGTGTATTGGTGCCCAAGAGTGATCTCTGGTACCACCTTTGTAAGATTCATTGTTGGCAAGGTTTTCTCCTTTGGTGTCAAGAAGAAAACTAAAAATAATATAATAATAAATAATATAAAGAAGAAGAAAGACATCAGTAAGGTTTCTGTGAAGCTCCTTTAAGCCCACTAGTATAAGAGAAGCTTTTCTTTGAACAATTACATTGATGATTTATTAATTTGTTTGAAAATAGATGATGTGCCAAAAATCTATCGATGTTTTCCTTTTGTATTTTCCGTGACACAAACCACAAACTGTTTATTGAACTGCAAGCTCCACGAACTGCCAACACTAGTGAATTTAAAGCTGCCTTTTAGAATCATAAACTATAATTAGCTCTCTGGCGGACTTAAGAGGAGAAACATGTTTTGTTTTGTTTTGTATCAAATGTATTTTGTCCTGCCCTGCTTTAAACACCTATCATGTAATAGTGCACATAAAAGGCTAGGCTAGGTGATGCCTTGGGGAAGAAACAATTGTGGGGAGAGAGAGAGGACCAAAGAAGCTTTCATCAGAAATGGGGAAAAATGGGATTATTATCTGATGCCTCTCAAAAAACAAGCAAAGGATTGCTGTACAGTTGAAGCTCAGAAATTGTTTGCCAGATGAATGAATAAGAACTATGCTTTCTCCCAGGAGACAAGGGAAGCTTGTTATTTTTAAGTAATCTCTACACCCAGTGTGGGGCTTGAACTCATGACCCTGGGATCAAGAGTCATGTTCTACCCACTGAGCCAGCGAGGCGCCCCCTTAGAGACTTCTTCTTATTGTCTGATGAATCTTAGGACCTGAAGAGAGAAAGTTAAAAGAAAGGGAAGGTTGCTGGTGTCTCCTGGCGATAAACAGATATTGGTGGAAAACAATACAGCATTGGTCTTAAAATACAACAGAATGCTAATGA